AAAATGTTTAGATTTTCATCTGCATAAGTAACACTGAAAAATACACACGCTCACAGCGCTGGTTTCTGAAAAAATAACAACGAGAACTAATATTTCAATCTGCTTTGAAGTGTCCGAACCCTCATGCTTTGCCATCCAAGGGGGTGTACGAGCCAGCCTCACAAAAAGTGAACATGTCATCCCAATCCTGATGCTCAACCCTTTGATCAGCCACAATGTAACTTGTTGAAACAAACCACCGTTCCACACTCACTTGGAGCCATCCAGACACTTGAGAGGCTGATGGCGAAAGCGGAGGCTGAGCCGAGGTGGACTATTGGCTTGATCGATTCTCATTCTGGTAATTCGTGTCAATTGGTGGACAACATTGTAGGAGATCTACCTGGAGATCTTCTTTGGTTGATTTGTTTGTTTTCTGCTCAGGTTGTGATCCTTTCCACACTCAGAGAATCCCTCACCACTATCCAGCAGTTTTGCATTGATGAATAGTAAAGTAATTACTGATATGAGGTACACCTGTCACTCTTAATATATCTATTTTGATCTATTTTGTGTTTATTGAAACATTCGCAAGGCGAGTTCTCTGTGTGTTTTCAACTTCATTACTTCAAGGATGACTCAAGGAATTGGTTCATTATCGAAAGCCACGGCCCGTTCATTGTACTTGCGATAAGTGTGGTGTCTGGTTGAAACATTTTTTCCGTGTATACATTGGGACACATATGCCGACCTGCCACTCTTTAGAACACACAGCTGCTTGGAATTGTTCGCTTGGAAGATCCTAGCACAGGTGAAAGACCTTCGCGAAGAGGCCGGACAAGGCGAGAGCATGAACCAGGCGGACAAGGCGGTGTTGATGCATGCGGTGTTGTTTCTTTCTGCAAAACACGGACAAGACGGACCCCAGCGAGGTTTTCAGGTTAGAGATTCATGCTGTGTTTGGTTTAGGTCTGAACTCTCCACTCAAAGTCCAATATTGTAATGCAACAGGTTCCAATCCAAGATGTTTTAATGCGTCCTTGCAACGAGATCTTCAAATTTTCTTGACACAATGCAATGCGACGAAAGATCATCCACCATCCTCGCCATCCTTTGAGCCCCATTGGCCCCGTTTCATGTCGCGTCATGTGGTTGCACCATGGGCGCCGGCGCCGGCGCTGGAGCCCGCGCCCGCGAGTACCTCGCGGAGGATGATGCCCTTCGGCGCGTCATCAAGGAGGACTTGCCCTGGGCGGAGGAGCTGCTCAGCCGCGCCCAGCGGTGCCTTGGTGCTGAGTTGCGGATACGTGACAGTTGGATAATTTTGGAAGTGTGGGTGTGACTGGGGATTGCAGCTGTTCAATTGCAAGTGGCTTTCATTCTGGGGTAAAAACTGTACGAGCAGCATGTGCTGGTGTCTCTTGAAGTAGCGTGGCCAGACTAGTCCATGCATACGACTATAGTACTGTACTGGTATAGTAGTGCGCTTCACATATCATCACGCAATTGTTCAGAGTCATCATAACCAAAGCCGTTTCTTTGGCGCTTGGAACAACATCGACTAGTCACTAGTCGTCGCTGTCACTGTTGGAACAACACCCAAGGCTATCAGAATTGGAAACAGTGTCACACTTATTCAGACAGAGACCAAATTGGTTTGAAACAGAATTCAACGACAATGAGAATTAGAAAACACGCAGAGTTCTTCATTGTTCAAGAAATACTTGTTCGTAGCGTCCAAGGATCCTGGCAGAGGCTGCCGAGGCTAAGCCCACGACGCCGGGACAGGCAGCCAAGGTCCACTTGACTGTCAGCGGCCCGGGTAAGGGGGCCTTTCGGCTTGACGTTGACAGAGATGCAACTGTGCCCTGGATAGATTCATTGTACCTCGAGGTTTTGGTGTGACTTTGTGTCGTTTTGCTGGCTTGGGGAATTTGCTTTTTGGAGGAGGTCTGACGTTTGACACAAGACGCACCCAAGGTGGAAGGCCTGTGCCGACAGATCGTGACAAAGACTGGCATGAGAGCAAGTCGAACACTCACCCTGACTTCGGGTGGCAAAGCTCTGGATGATTCGAAACCTTTGCTGCAACAAGTCACTGGGCAGGAGGTTGCCTTCACTTCGCGGCAAATTGGTGCTGGACAAGCAGCGCTGGCCTTGCACAAAGCCTTAGCAAAAAGGACACATGACCGTGCAGAAACGACAAAAGAAGACCTTTGTGCAGAAGATGTGAAGGCCATGGATGCCATTGAGTCACTGACATTTGGTTTCTATTTCAATCAAAGTATGGAGGGCATAACACTGCCAAGTGGCCTTCAGACTCTGACCTTTGGCGAAAAGTTCAACAAGAGTTTGAAAGGTCTCACATTGCCGAGCAGCCTTCTGAGTTTGACCCTCGGAGGCGATTTCAACCAGAGTTTGGAGGGTGTTGTGCTACCAAGCGGCTTGCTCAAGTTGAAGTTTGGCAAAGAGTTTGACAAGATCCTCGAGGGTGTTGTGCTTCCAAGCAGTCTGCAGGTTTTGTCTTTTGGTGAAAAGTTCAACCAAAGTTTGGCAGGCGTCGTCCTCCCAGGCAACCTCCAGACCTTGTGTTTTGGGCAAAAATACAACCAGAGCTTTGCGGGGACCACGCTACCTCATAGCCTGCAGACTCTAACCTTTGGGTGGAATTTCAACCAAAGCTTTGTCGGTGTCACACTGCCAAATAGCCTTGAGTCTTTGACCTTCAGCGGAGATTACAATCAAAGTCTGAAAGATGTCACGCTGCCAAGCAGCTTGAACACTTTAACCTTTGGCTATCAGTTTAACCAGAGCTTGGCTGGTATCATGTTGCCAAGCAGCCTTCAGACTTTGACCTTCGGCTGCATGTTCAACCAGAGCTTGGCAGGCGTCGCAGTGCCAAGTAGCCGGGAGACCCTGAGAGAAAACCTGAGCTTGAAGGGCATCTTACTGCCGAGCAGATTACAGACTTTGATCTTTGGGAAGAACTTCAACCAACGCTTGGAAGGGGTCATGCTGCCAAACAGCTTGGAGAGACTGACTTTTGGCAAAGGCTTCAACCAAGATTTGAGAGGTGTCCGGCTGCCAAGCAGCTTACGGACTTTGACCTTCAGTGGGGCCTTCAACCAGAGCTTGCAAGGCCTCACGCTGCCAGATAGCTTGCAGACCTTGACCTTTGGCGACGAGTTCAACCAAAGCTTGGCAGGTGTCACGCTGCCAAGCAACCTGCAGACTTTGACATTCGGCTGCAAGTTCAACCAAAGCTTGGCAGGTGTTAGATTGCCAACAGGCCTGCAGATCTTGACTTTTGGCGCTGATTTCAACCGAAGCTTGGACGACGGAGATTGGAGCGTGGAAGACAGAGCGCCCACTCCCACACTGCCAAACAGCCTACAGACCTTGACCTTCGGAGAAAGGTTTAACAAGAGCTTGGCAAATGTCACGATGCCAAGCAGCCTGCAGACTTTGACATTTGGCAAAGGTTTCAACCAAAGCTTGGTCGGTGTCAAGCTGCCAAACAGCCTACAGTCTTTGACTTTCGCTCATGGTTTCAACCAAAGCTTGGCACGTATGCTGCCGAGCAGCCTCCAGACTCTTACCTTTGGCAGTGGTTTCAACCAGAGCTTGGCAGGTGTCGCATTGCCAGGCGGCCTGCAGACTTTGAGTTTTGGGAAATGGTTCAACCAGAGTTTGGAGCGGGTCAAACTTCCAAGCAGCTTGCAAAATTTGACCTTTGGTGAAAAGTTCAACCAGAGCTTGTCACATGTCACGCTTCCGAACAGCCTGCAGACTTTGACTTTGGGAACTGGCTTCAACCAACGATTGGCGGGTGTGGCACTGCCAGGCAGCCTACAAACTTTGACGTTTGGCGATCATTTTGATCAGAGTTTGACCGGTATAATGCTGCCCAGCAGCTTGCAAACTTTAACCTTCGGTAGTGGGTTCAACCAAAGCCTGGCAGACGTCATGTTGCCAGGCAGCCTGCAGGTTTTGACATTTGGAGAACATTTCAATCAGAGCTTGGTTGAGGTAAGGCTGCCAAGCAGCCTGCACTCTTTGACATTCGGAACGGATTTCAACCGCAGTTTGGTTGGTGTCGCGCTGCCAAGCAGCTTGCAAACGCTCACATTTAGCTACAACTTCAACCAGAGCTTAGTTGGCGTCATGCTGCCAAGCAGCTTGCGCAGGTTCTGTCTTTGGCAAGTCACTGTTTGCATCGATTTGTGAAGTCTTGTCGGTGCTCCTCAGGCATTTGCTTGCAAACCCAGCCAAAACGTCGCAAAACAAAGCAACTCTTTGGCCATTGCACCAGACGACGATAGATCCGGGGCCGAACATGCTAAAACCCAGTGCCAATGTACCAAGAGATGAACACTATGACGACTGCCTTCGCGTGCACCAGGCGGTCGGCCTTCCATGGACCCTCCAAAAGGCCGGGAAAGACCGAACGGTCGGCGGCCGTGGCTTTGGCGAGTGGCTGGCGGTTTCGGCGTGGCACACCTTTGGCCACACCGTTTTCCTTGTCGGTTGGTTCGCTTAAAGAACGCATGCTTACGACGATTGTCTTTCTGTGTAGATGCACCAAAGGGCCGAGCTTTCCATCCGGGGTCAAATCGTGAATAGAACAGCTTAAAACCAGGTCAACGATATGTATTTTTTCTGGCATCTTACAGCAACATTTTGAGATTTATCCGTCTTGGATTCCTAGCGCAGATGTTCTATTTTTCTTACACGAGAAAAATAGAGAGAAAGTCAGTCTTTCGTTTTTTGTTTAAATCGTTTTTTCTCCTCAGCTCCACTGGCTCTTTTTCAGTTTCACCACGGTCCATTGGTCTGAACTCTCCACTCAAAGTCCAATATTGTAATGCAACAGGTTCCAATCCAAGATGTTTTAATGCGTCCTTGCAACGAGATCTTCAAATTTTCTTGACACAATGCAATGCGACGAAAGATCATCCACCATCCTCGCCATCCTTTGAGCCCCATTGGCCCCGTTTCATGTCGCGTCATGTGGTTGCACCATGGGCGCCGGCGCCGGCGCTGGAGCCCGCGCCCGCGAGTACCTCGCGGAGGATGATGCCCTGCGGCGCGTCATCAAGGAGGACTTGCCCTGGGCGGAGGAGCTGCTCAGCCGTGCTGAGCGGTGCCTTTGGCAGGATATTTGCGATCCTAGAAGAACGCTTTGAAGCGCCCGCCTTGCATCAAGAGTCAGACCTGAGCAGCACCTTGGAATCTGAGGCTTGTTGCAGACGCTAAAGCTGAAGGAGATGCGCCGCGGCTGAGTTTTCCTGTAGGAATCAAGCGGTTTCCGTGAAAGTCAATATGACGTGTGTGGGGTGGGCATTCCGCCTGGGTGCTAGTGGTGCTAGTTTTGACTAGTTTTGCTCGAGAAGGACATAGACCCCCGTGGAGATTCGAACTAACTCTGAGAACTAGCCACGCTCCTTTGCAAGTTTTTCTTCGTTCTTTTTCAAGCTTTGCGTGAGTCAAGCCTTTGCCTTTGGCAGTTCGGCAAATGCTTGTGGCATGTTTATCTCTGGTTTTCGTTGTTCTCCGCATGCTCAGGGATCGAAGGAGGATCCTAAGAACGAGGAGCATGAAAACAATGAGGCCTGCAGGGGTTTTCATTTTTTTCAGTTTTCGGGCAACTGAGATGCTTTAGGAGCCTCGGTGTCAATTCATTTGGGAGAGAGGTGCCAGCAACAAGGTGTTAATTGTAGAGCGCGCGCAACAAAACGGCCAATTTTGTATTCAATCAAAAGAGGCGTGCGTGATGCAATGGCACTCTGGTAGGGTGGGACAACGGCTGTTTTGCCCCCCCTAGGTGTAACTCACAGTGCAGTTATTCAATCGGGCATCGCGTGATATTGAAAAACGTGCACTCACACAACCAAAAAGAACCTTCCCACCTGGCCTGCAGGCGCCTGCAAAGAATAAGAACATCGAGTTGAACGTCTACGGCTTGGGTGGGTTGACGGATGGCTTGAAGTTTCACCTTGCAGTTGAACCTGCTGAGACAGTGGCTCTGTACATCATCAAAGACGCCTATTTTTATTTGACTACTATTGTTTATGGTTTGCGTCTTGTTCCTTGGAAAGGATTTCCAGGGCATCCTTGGCATCCTTTGCGCTGGATTTGCAGTGTGTCTCCGCTTGTCGGTGGTTGGGTTGGTTGTTTGGCATTGTTTGCCCCGCCCTTGTCATGCTCTTGTTTTCTGCCTGTCCTTTTCCCTGCGTGTCCAGGAGAAGGTCAAAACTCTGTTGTCGCATCTTTGGTTTTGCTGGGAAGTTGTGTCCAGTCTCCAGCGGTCCTGATTGTCGAGTTGTCTCTTCGGTGGTCGGTTGCGTGACTTGGTCAGGTTAGGGCGGTCGCGCCGGCAGCTTTGTCCGGTTTGGTTGTGCTCGCGTTAGGGTTTCTCTTTGTGTTTGGCTTCATGTCTCTGCCTGTACTGTGTGGTTGCCTGGGACCATACTTGTGCGATTTTGGTGTTTTGGTTCCTGGGGCAAGTGCTGTATGGAAAGAATGCAAAGGGATGAGTTTTGTGACATGAAACGCGCCGCGAGGTGGAAAATCTATCCAAAAGAATAGCCGCGAGCAGCGGCTTCAGTGATCGCACGCTGCTTCTGACGTCAGGTGGCAATGTGCTAGATCATTCCAAACCTTTGCTGCAACAACTCACTGGTGAAGAGGTCACGACGGTCACGAATCTTGCTCGGCAAGTTGTTGGTGTTGCCGTAGTTGACTGCAGCGCGGCTCACCTCTCAGTCCGGCTGCCGCTCAGGACGACTTCATCTTCGAAGCCGCTCCCAGGCGAAAGTGTGAAGTTGAAAGTCCAGGGCCCCCAGGGCCTCACCTCTCAGCTTGAAGTGGACTGTACTACTACCGCAGCTTTGACATTGTTAGGTGCATTTGTTTTCCTTTCTGCTGGGCTTTCTGTTGTTGATGCTTTTGCATGTGTTTTTGTTTATTTAGCTGAGAAGGTATATTTTCGTTGTGACGTGAAATGCGCCCAAGGTGGAGGATCTATTCAAAAGAATAGCCACAAGGAGAGGCAGCATGAAGAATGGAATTCTGACCTCAGGTGGCAAGGTGCTTGATAATTCTAAGCCACTCCTGGACCAAGTTCACGATGACAAGGTCACATACATGGCTCGATTTGGGGCCGGCGAGGCATCTTTTGCCTTGCACAAAGCCCTGGACCAAAACTCCAGGGCTACATCAGGACCTGAAGGAATAGCAGAAGACAACCATCGTGAACCTCACGCGGATGATGCAACAAGCATAAACGCCACAGATGCAATTGCCTCATTGTCATTCGGGCCCTATTTCGACCAAAGCTTGGCAGGCGTCACATTGCAAGGGCTTCAGACTTTGTCCTTCGGAGATGCCTTCAACAAGAGATTGGATTTTGCAATGCTCGGCAGCCTGCAGTCGTTGACTTTTGGAAAATATTTCGACCAAACCTTGCGGGGTGTCCAGCTGCCACACACACTCTTGAATTTGAAGTTTGGCATCAAGTTTAACCAGAGCTTGGAAGGGGTCGAGCTGCCAGACAAGCTTCAGACTCTGACATTCGGCGATGAGTTTGACCAGAGTCTTGCAAGTGTCAAGCTGCCAAGCAGCCTCCAGATATTGACTTTCGGCCGTGCTTTCAACCAGAGCTTGGCTGACGTCGCGCTGCCAGACAAGTTGGAGACCCTAACATTTGGGGACTGTTTCAACCAGAGCTTGGTTGATGTAAGCCTGCCAAAGAGCCTACAGACCTTGACCTTTGGCTTTCAATTCACTCAGAGCTTGGTTGGGGTCCGGCTGCCAAAACTGAAGACCTTGAGCTTTGGCTTCGGGTTTAATCGGAGCTTGAATGAGGTCAGACTTCCAAAAAGCCTTCATATTTTGACCTGTGGCAGCATGTTCTACCAGAGTTTGGCCGGTTGTCAGCCGGGAAACAGCCATGATACCTTGAGCGTGAATCTGACCTCGAAAGGTGCCGTTTTGCCAGACCACTTGCGGACTTTGGTGCTTGGCCACAAGTTCAACCAAAGCTTGGAAGGTGTACGGCTTCCAGACACCCTGCAGATCCTGATATTTGGCTCAGGTTTTAACCAGAGGTTGGATGGGATTAAGCTGCCGAGCAGACTGCAGACCTTGACCTTTGGTGAACAGTTTAACCAGTCCTTGGTTGGCGTCACCCTGCCGAGCAGCCTCCAGACCTTGAATTTCGGAACGGAGTTCAACCATAGTTTGGGGCCTCCTTTCAAGCTTCCAAGCAGCTTGCAGACTTTGACCTTCGGTGAAAAGTTCAACCAGAGCTTGACACCTGTTGCATTTGTGCAAACATGCCTGCAGACTTTGACGTTGGGCCAAACTTTCAACCAAAGTTTCAGTGGTGTGGCGCTGCCTGGCAGTATGCAAACTTTGATTTTTGGCAAACATTTCAACCGGAGCTTTGCTCGTGTGTCACTGCCAAAAATGCTGCAGACCTTGACCTTTGGCGAAAAGTTCAACCAGCGCTTGGCTAATGTCAGGCTGCCGAGCGGCCTGCAGACATTGATCTTCGGCAGCGCTTTCAACCGGAGCTTGGCTGATGTCACGCTGCCCGACAAGTTGCAGACCCTAACATTTGGGGACGGTTTCAACCAGTGCTTGGTTGATGTAAGGTTGCCAAAGAGCCTACAGACTTTGACATTCGGGACGCACTTCAATCGCAGTTTGGTTGGTGTTAAATTGCCACCTGCGCTGCAGACGTTGTCCTTCGGTGCGGGCTTCAACAAGAGTCTGTTGCTTACTCAGCTACCAAGCAGCATCCAAAACCGAATCTTTGGCTACAAGTTTGACCAGAGCTTGGAAGGGGTCGAGCTGCCAGACAAACTTCAGACTCTGACATTCGGCAATGAGTTTGACCAGAGCCTTAGTAGTGTCAAGCTTCCAAGCGGCCTGCAGACATTGACTTTCGGCAGTGCTTTCAACCAGAGCTTGGCTGACGTCGCGCTGCCAGGCAAGTTGGAGACCCTAACACTTGGGGACTGTTTCAACCAGAGCTTGGTTAATGTAAGCCTACCAAAGAGCTTACAGACTTTGACATTCGGGACGAACTTCAACCGCAGTTTGGTTGGTGTTGCGCTGCCGAGCAGACTCCAAATAATGAGATTTGGCTACGAGTTCAAGTTCGACCGGAGTTTGGAAAGGGCTGAGCTGCCAAGCAGCATACGTCGGTTTTGTGTGCCGCAAGTCACTGTATGCCTTCACTTGTGCTTTGAGGTTCGATCTATTCGACCGAAAGCCGAATCGCTGTGATCGACTCTGTTGTGTGGCTGTACTGAAAACTGACAGCCAAAGAGTCATAGCTCCCCTGTCGGCCACGGGAGAAACATAATCCCAAAGCGCCCTGTTTGACATCCTGATAACATCCCGATGACCATGGGGGATTCCATGTCGACTCTGGGGGAGTTCAGCAACTCTTGGGGCATACGTTGAAACCTCCTGGTGCAATTGGTCCATCGTCATGGCGCTGAAGAGTCGAGTTGAGACTCGTCACCGAAGACTGAGCGTGTCGCTTGCAGGATCGGTACGGCCCACATGATGTTTCACCTAGAAACCTAGAAGAACCCATTTGTGTACATTTGTATACATGGTTTTAAGTCCTGTTGAAAGAGACCACTGAGATCCGCATTTGTTACGACGATGCTTAGCTCGTTTGCTCGGTTCGCTTTTGTCGGGAAGGTTCGATGCCATTCCCACCTTCCCCAACGTGGGCAAGGTGGGTGCAGCTCAGGCCGAAACGACACTTCTGAAACGACGGTCAGTTGTGTTCTCCCGAGACAGTGTCCAGGTTTCCTGGTCAGAAGGGCTCGAAGTTTGCGGAAAAAGACAACAGACTGACACAATGAATCTGACTAGAAAAAGCATATTGTGAGAGCAGATCACATGCGGAGCGTTGACATTCATGTTCCTGACTCTATGCGTGAACGGGTGTGTAGTGTGATCGTTGCCTCTTGAGCTGATATATTGTTGGAACCCATGCTCCTGTCACATGGTGCTTGTCCCTCACGTAAGATCTAGAGTAATCATAAGCTGCGCAAAGCAGCACCCAGTGGAATGCCACCTTGAAAAGTGGTGGAACATGCGCTTAATAAATCTTCCTGACTGACCGCTAATCACCATAGCAAACGACTCCAAGTATATTGGCGCAATAAGGAATGTCTCAGGTGAGTCGCGAGACAAAGAGTGGATCCATTGATAGTTCAAGCTCTCTTGGACAGATTTGGGTAGGCCTAAAGTCAAACATGTCCAAACCGATTGATCCAAAGAAGAAGACTCAATAGTTGCAGTGAAACAGCTTGGAGTAGCGCTGAGTAAGCCGAAGCAATGTGAAATCTGGAGTAGCATGGCATAGCAGCATAGCCTTAGACCCATGAGCAGCGGGAGTGGCCCGCGACCAATCATGGTGGACGTGCAGCAAGAAACTAGCCTCACGGGCTACCCTTTGTCCAACAATCATGGGAAGTTTCCCTTTAGAATTCTACGAACTTCTCTACAAACAAAGGTTTTACACAAAGTCATGATGATGGTGCATGGAGCGTCCCCCAAAAACGGGATTTGGTGGTTGAAGAGAAAGTGTCCCGCAGGTGGACAGAAGAAACTCGGAGAAGTTCATCGGATTCTTCTAGACCGCGGACCAACCCCACAGTCTGCGTCGTGCTGCCCGGAGTGACGGCATTTCACCCGAGTAGCTTCAACGCGTGAGAGCCCGGCCAAAAAATGTGAGATGGACTCTGTGGACAACCTTGAGCAGATGGCCATTCTTGAGGATGCTGAGCTCCATGTGGCTGTCCATGGAAAGTTGTATGGACATTGCTTCATGGCATTGAGGTATGCCAATGGTGTTTTCTTCATGTTGTTGAGAATGGCCAGCAGCCCGTTCCCTAGGGAGGTTGATCCTGAATGGATGGAAAGCAGGTAGTTGTAGCCAAAGACAGACACTAAGTCCTTTTTAAAAGCTATCAGATATCAACGTGCAGTGCATTTGCATCGTGTTGCTCCCGAACGTGGCTGTGCTACAACTTGCAAGACAGCGAGGTGAGAGGTGAAAAACGCTGGCTCCAGCCGACCTGGTTTGCGCACAGAGCATTGTTTTGATATTGGTTAATGCATCACTAGCCGCTCCAGAAGCTGTTGCTAACATGGTGAACTTGAAGTGAGCTTGGCAGGTGTTGCAATTCTTTCAAACGAACAAATTGAAATGTCCATGATTTACTTGCAGAACCATTTACTGTTTGTGTCACCATTGAGTCTTGCAAGCTTTCTCAAACGACCTCTGCATACATCATTTCGCCTTCCGCCAGCAACAGC